GCAGGAGGGTGTTCAGAGCAACGACCCGATGGCAGGGCTGATGAGCCAGACGGGGCCAACGGAGGGTGCGGTCTACTACTATAAGACTGGGGACGGCCGCATCTACACCCCAAACTCGGCGCAGCTGGGAGACCGCCAGCTGACAATGCAGGCGTACACTGCGGAGAGCGTCTCGGGGATTGGTAAGCAGCTCGCGGGCTCGCCAGGCGCCCTCGAGCCGTACGAGGCGGGCGGTGGGTGGTTCCCTCCGTGCAAGCCGCGCGAGCTGGAGTACTATATGGGGAAGGCGCTCTCGCCAGCGGAGATGTTTGGCGTGCTCAAGGCGAACCTCGACTCGATGACGATGCTGGTCCGGCTCCTATGCTACGGCATCTTCTTTGCGGGCTTCATGATGATCGGAGGCCCTCTTGCCGTTGCGCCCCAGATCGTCCCGTGCGTCGGCGAGTACATCGCCGGTGTCGCGCAGTGCATGGTCGCCTGTGTGGCCGCAGTCTTTGCGCTCGGGCTCTGGGCGTTCTCCACCGCCATCGCCTGGCTCTTTTACAACCCCGTGTACGGCATCGCCCTGCTGGTCGTCGCAGGTGCGGCGAGCTACATCGGCAACAACATGGTCCAAAAGGCCAAGCACGAAGGCGGCGGCGGCGGCAGCGGCGCTCCCAACCTCGGTTTTAGCAAGCCGCAAGACGAGGTACCGCTCGTGTGAGCGGTCCATAGCTGAGGACTCCTGCTGGAGCTCTCTGAGCCCGCTCTCGCTCCAGGAGAGGGGAGTATCGCTCTTGCCTGTCACCTGTGGGCGCGGCGCAGCTCCCCCGGGGGCAGCGGCAGGGCCAGGCGCACTCCCGTTGCAGTGCATGTAATACTGTAAGGTGAGACGACAGACACAGGTACACCTCCCAAAAGGTGAGCTGAGGACTTGGCTCTTGGGGGGGGGGGGTTGAAAATAAAAAATAAAAAGGGACCCCTCTCCTGGGAGAGGGGTAAAAAAGGAACCAGGCCCCCCCCTGAGGGGAGGCCCTGGGGTCTCTGGGGAGAGGGGGGGGTTTTTTGTGGGGGGGGGGCCGGGACCACAAACGGGGGGGGGTGTGGGG